GATTATAACACAGAGTTATTTCACTAAACGAACCACTTTACAAACTTGATTCGTAAAACTCAATAAATAATAATAAGTAGTATGTAATATGTGTACTAACTTGCTTGCATTCTGTTGCATAAAAATGCATTATATAAGTTAGTTTAATTCTAAACCACTGTACTTTTTTTATTCTCCGTAAACTATGATCGAGAGACTAATTAATTATTGAAAAAAATACGACAATAAAAATATATTATTCAACTGATTTCTTTTCCTAAGTAGCTAAATTATGTAATTCTATTACCATTAAGACAAAAGTAAAAAGTACATGAGTTTGCTTATTGTTATTCATTGGTGAATTGATAAATAAAAATGAATAAATTATATTTAGTGATCTAAAAGATTTTCGTGTGATAAATTCACTTTCCAGATACAAGTTATCTACACTAATCATTAAGATTTCATTATTTCGCTTACGAAAATGAGAGGACGAAAAGCGAATGTCTGGCGCTTTAACCGGATTCCAAACCAATGGTACACATGGGCTCCAGTATCCTGCGGAAACAAATGGCGTATGAACCAATTGTTGGTCACCGGCCTCCATGGGACTGCATCTCCTTACGATGCTCCACTGCCTTGTGGATCAGACCTTTAGGTCAAAGGCTCGGGGAGTGGCCCCCTAAGATAACCACCTGCTTCGATTTGGTCACCCGGACAGTATCACAGCCCTCACACATATCGAATGAGATTTGTGTGGCGCATATGTATTTGGTACCTGATTGTACCATTATCTATGTGTTAAAATAAATAAATAACATTACATAAAATTAATATTATGATTTACATTAGATACGTATTAGATTTGTCATATATGAACAAAAGGTGTCATGTTTCTTTTTCGTCTAATATAAATTAGTTAACTTACGAAATGTTTATTATCTCGTTCACACTAGATAAATATAGGATTTTTCTTTCTCCTCCACCCCTCATCTTTGTAACACTACAATAGCACATTGTTTTAACAAAACACTTTTTATCAAGATTTTAAAAAATCATCATTTCATTACAACAATTTATATGATTCCATGATATATACAACATCTATATTCATCTCTCTTGGTATCTTGACACCATACCTGTAATGTGATCAGTAGAAGAATAAATAATCAAAATGTTTTCCATCATTATCTGCCTGATTTAGCATTTAAGACACGTTCACTGAAAGTATAAATCAAAAATGAATAACATATTCGAGTTAAAGAAAAAAAGGAAATGAAACATTAGAATATTTCTATGATTATTAACATTTTTGTGTTTTTATCACGTAATCCTAAATTGATTTTTAACTCTGCATATATTCCCTTTTATAGGGATACTATATTCACAATTATCTATAAGTATAATTAATATTTTGCATTTAGAACCTTGTTTATGTAGAGAATTATCTGTTCATATTTCGATTAAACTATACGCTTTGCTTTTTTTTTAATTATCGCAAACCTTTTAAGATAAACAATCTAGTCATTTGGCATTCGGCCTAAATTCATCACTTGTGAAATATTGCGTTTCTTTTAAATCAGTTCAATATTGATAGAAGAATCTTTGTTATACTTCTTGGTTTGGTGTATTTTGAATTAAGGAATTTACTTTTTTTATACATATTCACTTTATCATCTTAAAGAAATCAAGAACAAAGATTTGAGCAAAATAATATGAATTGATTTCATTAGATTCTTGTCAGCTACTTGCAACCTGTACTATTTAAAAGTTTAAATTAAATATTAGGTTGAGAATACTTGCCTAAATGAATTAATAAATATAGAGAAAAAAACTAGAGATAACAAGTCGGATATAACTCCAGTCAATAAAGAACCAGTCATTATCCCACTCAACTTCGAAGGTGATGATATTACAAAGGTAGTCAGTATAGAGCTTAATAGTGCATTAACCAGGACCTACCGTGCACCCAAACTATTAATCGTGTAATAAAACATCTTCAATGTTTTAGCGAAGGGTAAACAAGTTCCCCATTTGTGTTAGCTTCAACTGTGTATAAATTTACGTATACCTATCAGGCACCTTTATTGACTGGATTTTTTAAACATATTCTTAATACATTTCGATCAAGATAAAGAAATACTTTCAATCATGCAATCTCTAGACATCAGGTTGGTACCTTTAAAATCTTTCAGTGTCATTACTGAACAACCAAGTCCTTTTCTTTTGAAGTTTACTGCAAAAATTGACATGTGATTTATGTTTTTAAAATTGAACTGTAATCAAACATTTTATGTTTTTGTACCATAAACTTTAGTTAGTTAAATCATTTAGTTCTTTTCAAATCTTTAAATTAGTTGGTTGTTTCATTACCTTTTTTGGCTTGCTTCCAGTCCAATTACTTTGATTTTCAACTAACCGAATTTCACTCACTTTATTTTTACTTATCATTGGCGTGTGCTCATCACGTAACGATTTGTTTCTAACTCTTCGGTTTCTCTTTTTACTACCGTTGCTATAAAATTATTCTTTTAAATATTATATGTTTATAGGCAATTTTTATTTGATTTCTTAAATTTATTTACATCTTTCCCATACTATTCTGATGTATAAAGGTAACAAATTTCTGTCTTAAAATTCATTTATGTACTTTTAACTCAATTTATAATTATAACCTTCAAATAATACAGTTTGTAAGAAGTTGACAAGAACCTGATGAAATAAGATGAAATTATGTTATTCTGCTTAAATCTTTGCTCTTGCTTTCTTGTTGTTGATAAATTGATTGAAGTATGACTTATAAAACTAAATTACTACTAACATTTGCATTCTGATCGTTTATCTTGAAACGAAAATCCTATTTATTGCTTATACAAAACTTTTGAAAAGGCTCATAGTACAATAGCTTCATATCTTATTCAAAACCGGTTGGTGATGTATGTCATTAGAATTTAAATGTTTTTCAAAATAAAACTAATTGTATTTAGTCAGTCGCCAACAACGTAGAACTTGGGATATTTGTGCATTAGTTCAAGTTTTCACACCATATCATGATGAATATCAAAGGGGCAGTAATACTAGTATCAGTCACAGTAAAAAAAAATCACTATAGAAATTATGATTTAAGATAAATAAATAAATTCGTAAATACAAAATTATAATTAAAATCTGCCTATATACAGGATATATTTTTGTAGTGTTTTTTTAGATAACTAAATAGAACAAATATATTGTTGTATACACTGTTATGATTAGATGTTATTTTATACTGATGATAAAGAGTTTCAACAAAGAAAGTTATATGCATATATATCTAAGAATGTAATCGAAGATGTATATGATAGTAGATTGAAAAAGTAACATTGTTGTTTATAGAATGAACGAACAATTAAATAAGAAATGAATTTCTTTTTCACTTCATATCCAATTAATAATTTTTCACTTGAAAATGGTTGAATGTAACACGTAATTTGGTATATTTAACAAGATTTATTAGTTAATATAATAGACACCTTAGGAAAAGACGATGGGAATGGATAGAACATACATTACGCAAATCATCAAACTGCATTACGAGACAAGCCCTAACTCAGAATCCTGAAGGAAAGCGGAAAAGAGGAAGACCAAAGAACACATTACATTGGGAAATAGAATCAGGTATGAAAAGAACGAATAACAATTGGAAAGGATTTCCCATGACAGGGTTGGATGGAGAATTCTCATGTTTGACCTATGCTCCTTCACAAGGAATAAAAGGCGTAAGTAAGTAAGTAAGTAATAATAGACACCTGAGAGAAACAATATTCACAAATAAATCAAATAACGCAGTCGACCGAATATTTATGTAACTAATGACGACTTTCCATTACAGACATGAATAATCTTGTACATTTTTTGTTTAAAAACACGATTCTAAACTGATTACGGAGTTATTGTGAATAATTCTTTTCCAAAATGACAAGCAACGTAATTTTTCTTCATTTTAGGCTCTCTCATTTTGTTAAACTTACAGTTACGTTCTTTTTTTTACCTTTTTCCTTCCTTAAAAACTAATTCAACTTAAATATATGTTTCTTAAAGCTACATATGCGTAATGTTTACATTTTCTAATGTAAATTAGCCATCAGAAAAAGAAACACATACTTTAAATCACACATCATAAAGTTGTCAGTAAACATAGCTAGTGTATTAACTCTAGTATATTTTTTCATCGTTCAATTACATGTTCGTAATCTATGAAAAATGGAGCGTCGGCTTAATGGTTAAAGCTTTCAATTTCCGGTCACTAAGTTTTAGATTCTAACCCCATTTCATCTATTTCGGATTGGCCAGTTGTGTAATAACATTAGCCCTCACATTTCGAGTATGGATCCAAGTACCCGGTATATGAGTTTATTCATTTTTATTCTGTTTGAATCTATCAAATTCTGACCTTATTTACTGTAGTAGTTTTGTTCGTTAAATTTCACCGAATATATTCAAATCTTCTGTGAAAATCTTAAATCACATGAATTTAGTGTACAACATTGAATAAGACTTATACACTTTCTATCATTTTTCAATTATTCTCCCTCTAGTTCATTCTGATGTTTTCTGTCTAAAATGTTTCTCATTTTGCACTGTTAAGAAATATGGCGTCTTGAATCGATGAACTGTCGTATCATATTTTATGTTCCCTAGTCTACCTATCTCTTGTAAATGTAATCCCCCTTGGAAGCTTTTCAGTTGATTTTGGTTTCCAACATCTAAGTGTAGTAAAAGTGTTTCTAAAAGATACATAGCACTATGTGGTTGACTTCTACTTTATATTTTTAAGATCCCATTCGTGCATTTATAGTTCTTATAGAATAATATGTTTTTATAACTCAGTGAGTTAAAAATAGATTTTCGAATGCTTCACAACTTAGTGTGATTCGCTTCTCTATAGATAAATAATATAGATAATAAGTAAATAAATAACCGAATTAAACAAAATTTTAAGTAGTACAATGGATTTTTTGAAATTTTTCTTGATTTTTTAGAATTATCGTCCAACTGATGAAGATATAGTTTGGTCACGTAAACCAACGGAATCTATAATTGAAGAAGAAATAAATGTCCACTCATCATCACTTGTTTTTATTGACGTCGGTGGACAAACAAAAGAACGTCGTAAATGGTGTCAATGTTTTGCTGATATGACATCTGTCCTGTTCCTTATTGCTTGCAGTCATTACGATGAACATTATCAAGATCGATTAACTAAAGAATTTCGAAATAAATTACATGAAGCTATGGTTGTTTTTGAAGGACTTATCAATCATATTGCTTTTAGACGTGTTTCCATCATTATATTTTTTAACAAAACTGATATACTTAAAGAAAAGTTAAACTCACGTACATCAAATATTCGTGATGAGTTTCCTAATTACCCCGTGAAAATGGATCCATTTCGTCTGCAAGATGTTCAAACATTTATGGTTGAAGTATTTGCCTCTCTAGTCAATCACAACTTTCCACCAGATACTCAAGCTCGTTCAAGTCTTTCACATTCATCATTCAATAATACTGCTAAATGTTCATCTCTTCATAGACAAAACTCTGTACCTATGTCCACTAACGTAACATTTACAGCCCCTGTACGAAAACGTATGGTCTATCGTCATTTCACAACTGCTGTAGATAGGCGGAATATCGAAACAGTATTCAATGCTATGCAAGATACAGTATTGCAAAATAATTTACGTCGTATCATGATGAGCTAAATACAGACATATAAAGTTGTTCATTTATTGAGACTACAAAGTGTTTACTTCCATTTTCTGCTTTGGTTTATTATGTTGTTTGCGCCCTTAGATCTCAGTGAACATAATATCTATACCTTCCGAAAATTAATTAAAAGTCCTACTTACTATTCTTACCAACAATGTCTGTGCCAAATTTAAACTACCACTAAAATCATCAATAATACTAATAAGAAGTGTGTGCTTTTCATTTCATATTTTCTTATCTAATCATTAATTGTCTTTCATGCTACTCAATTCTTTATTACATAAATATATACATGCTTTTTGAGTTTGTATTTATTTTCCACGCATTTGCTTACGTTGAGCCTACATATATAAACACAAGACGTTAATGGTACGAGCATCTGTCGATTATATATAGATCCAAGTGATTTATTCCATTTGATTTATGTAGATAATATACTTTATTTTTCTATATATATATACATATATATATATATATATATATATATATATATATATATATATATATATTGATGTAAATTTCAGTGTTCCTACATGAAAGTATTCGAAAACAAAGAGATAATTGTACGTGTTCTGGAGGAATACATATTGATAGTGGGCAAATTCCCCAATCTTTTTTGGGACACGATGCTCATTCATATGTTTTGTTCTTGGTCAGTTGATATTTCAATGCTTGTAAATCATGTGTTTTATCTTTTTTGTTATAAAGCGAGCTTTTTATACTTCTCAACTTGTCAGATTTATTTGCGTATAAACGCATGTTTACCTTACTATAATTATATTTGATGTATCTAAAGTCAAAGGTTGATCACGTAATGTATATTTATATGACTTCAGTCATGTTCAATACTTTTGTCTCTGAAAACAAATTCCGAGAAAAATCGCAGTTTTTTAATGTGACTAGATGAATATTTAGCGCTTAGGGATGCTTTGGTTGAAAGTTCTCATTGTGGGTCGGAGAACTGCTGGAAGCCATAGAGTGATAGACAGTCAACCGGTATCAGTCCGTAGTGAAGTCATAATTATCTCCACAAAGTAGCCATCTAAATAATCTGTAAACGGTAGTCGCAAAATGATTAAACTTTAAGACCCCTGTGAATCAATCATCAAAGACGATTAACCGAAAGTAATTATTAGAGTTGAGGATTCGATGGAAAATGAAGCAACAACAAACGTAATCCAACTTATGAAAACAGGAGAAGTGCTTATTATGATTATTAACAAAGTTGAACCTTCGCTAGTTGTATGTACCTCGGAAGATCCTATCCACACCAGTTATCTTTAAGTTTGAAAAGCTGTATTGGTGTGAATTTCAAAACCGAGACGAGTTCGTATACTTCTATTGACCAACGTATGTACGATAACACTTGTTTACAAATTCGCAGCATATAACTTCACATCATAGCCAGGAAACCTGAATTGTTTTTTTGGCATATAGTCACCAGGGCTTACATCAAAGTTATGACTCCCATGTATTATTTAGGATGAAATACTTTTATCTCGAATGACGAAGAGCCATGAGTCCAAATAACTCTACCCATTTATGCCTTATTAAACAGATAGTAATGCCTACTTCCACACAGTAACTAGCTCACAGCATTCATGATGTGGTTATGGAGTTGCATTAGGTTATTTCTATCGGAAATCAAGTTTTCCTTTCACTGGATACTTCAAATAAACAGTTTTTCGCCACCTAGATACTAAAATGAAATTACTGTGATGGTTCACTCGCAATGATAACCAAGATTTTTTTTCACAATGGTGGTTAGTGGTGAACACTTGTGTAGTAAGCCCATTGAACTATTGTATTATTTGTCTACTCGCTGTACATCAATCTTTATGTATTCTTCCATTGGTTGTAAACACATACAATCAGTAATTTATCCATAATCGATTAACACTCATAAATATATATGGATTTTTAACAATCACTCACATTCTCGTTTCTCTGTGTGCTTGATATCCTCGCACTTGCGGATTTTTACTAATCTTAACAATAAGCCACCTCTACAACTGGTATTCGGACTTTTGAAAAATTCATAATACTACTAGGAGATTTAGCCTGCGTTAAATAATCGGTTAACGGGATACTATTTATTGGAGTCAGAGGAAATTAGTCTCTACACTTACTCAAATTGGTCCCAGTTTTTTTTTGCTTCGTAATTACACCAAATAAGTGAGTATTGAATTCAGAATCTTATTCTTAATCAAATTATCTGGTTTTTCACTTGGATATTACATTGAAATTAACATTATTTTACAATAACTAGGTCTCATTAGAAGGCTTTAGTTATAATTTCTGTTGTTTTCTTTCATATATAAAACAAATTAAGCACAGATGTCCTTACTCCATTTATTAGTCGAATGTACTACCAGACTATCACAAAGTTATGATTATTTGAGTCATCCTCCAAGATAAAATTATAACCAGAAAAAAATAAGAAACAAGCTTTCCTACTCGTTTAATTCCACTACTTCATACACATAGGTCCCTTTATTATCGAAGCTTTTATCCAAAGACCACCTAAAACGATTACGAAATATTAAGCGAAACGATGATATAATGATATTACGGTCAGATAAATGTTCAAGTATTGTTCTAATGAACGCAACGGATTATATCTCCACTACTTCAGTCGGGCATATATAACCTAACAAAATACAGCAAACATACATGCTTCGTAATTCATTAGTTTACAAAGAAAGATGTATTTGTTTAAATTGCCACTTGTTTGAACAGTTGTTCTTGCAGGTCAGTACGTCTGCAACAGGATCTAAATGAAATTACTCAGAGTATTCATCGGTTCACATATAATCTTTACCGTATCTGCTATCGTAACATTGCGGTCGGTCCTTCATATTGTGATGACCCAGTCGAGGTAGATTGATTAGGCACACGTTACCTCAGACTCTACTAAGCAAGGTAGGTCGGTCGGAGAACGGTAAAACTAAAAGCAGTAACATATGGCCTGAGGAAGAAGTACTAGGGACTGTATTCGAGTATGACAGCAGTAAGATGTTCCTCTTGGACAACCAGTATATAGGGCTGTATTGCCTTCCTATAACGAAAGGAGTGGTCTAGGAAAGGTCGACCCCTAAAAATAGAATACATCACAGTGCTCCACGGATTCCAGTCTGCAGTGTTAAGAGCCTCGGAAATGCGGAGCCAACTTATCTAAAACCACTCGAAAAAGGCCCTGACTGGCCTGAACCAGTTTTATCTTGGATTGTACGATCACGCTTACGAGTCACTACGACAAGAGCTATCTCTTTAGATACCTCAAGAACTATCCTTTCGTGGTGTGAACGACATAGGAGTAACAACCGAAATCATGCTTCCAACAGAAAACGTCATAACTTTCCTATATGCCACCAGAGATAATAACTCAACTTCACCAAACATCGGTCTAGGTCTATTAAAACTTCGCTTCAAGCTACATGTTGGAGCTTTCAACGTCCGACCCCTTTGGTTAATCAAACAGGCATCACAAACTAAGATATGGCAATCATGTGCCATCGGTGTATGATGTCTCGGGAGAATACACACAGGATCTTAGCACAGCCATTCACTTTACCTTTCCTAACCAGCATGGACAGCTGGTGTGACGTAATCGTCGCGTATTTGGAGACACGAAAGAAGATTCTCATGGTTTCAGAAATATAGGTATAACATTAAGTTTGAAAACAGAACAGGCACTTGACTGGGTTCCTGTCGATTTTCACTTGTGTGCTGTCCGTCTCAATGGCGGAATTAGAAGTTGAAGAGGTAATGACACGTCAATGAATCCTCGCTCTTTATTCCTATGCCCCCACTGATTGCACTTCGAATGGAGTGAGAAGTGAGTTTCCAGGAAACTTCATGATCTCTCTCAGGAAGCCGGATGCCCAGCCGTAGTAACCTTAGCAGGCGATTTTAGCGACCAATTCGACAGGTTAAGTCAATCGGAAAAATGCAGGTGGGTCTTAAAGCCTACTAGTCTGATAAGCAGATAACAGTAGCCACCTCTTGAAATTTTGCTCACAACGTAGAACCTGGTACATATGTACATTGGTTCAGGTGGCCACATCCTATTAGTACAGAGAGATGAAATTGTCATACCAAATCCTAGAATAGTAGAGATAGTACGAGGATGAGTAGCGGTTAAAAAACTAGGCATCAACGATACTACTCTAGAAAATATAAGTTCGAATAATAAAAACATAGAAATCTCGTGAGAATCGGAATCTCAGAATTCGGGGGAAGACCAGGAATGGATGCACCTGTACCATTGGTAACGACTTTAACTCATGTCACCCATATTCTATAACCGCTACTTGAGACAATCACGCAGAATCCAGGTAGTCTACATTTATTAACATGGCTCAGTTCAATTCTCATTATCTTCATGGGCTGATACTATGTATTCGTTTCATCCAGCCTACTCCAACACCAGAAAACATCGCCTGTTCACGGAGGTGGTGGTTGGCCATACGTAACGTTTTACAACCAGCTCAGTTGATGAAGATTTACTACCTCATCAACCGAATTGCCATATTCACCTATTACTCTATTCATAACCTCCACATTACATAATAGGTGGTCCCAAAATACACGAGCAATGCTTCGAAGATAATTATGACCGAATACTAGTGACCTACAAATATTGTCTATATCTTAATGATCATGTTTCACACTCATAAAGTAGAATAGAGTGAACTGCTGTGTAATGAACTCATCCTTTGATTGTGAGACAGATATCGTACATACGCCACAAATGAAGAAAGTCGGCAAAAGCGAATTCAGCCTCCTGAATCCGTGAAGAGATTTTGTCGGACATCAGGACTGATGAGACTCTCAAGAAAAGTGAAGCGGTCGAAGTATTCGACTACTTCACTCCACATCACTACTTCGGACGATGAAGCAAGGCAATCCTGAAGTCACACTTTACATTTGAAGGGAGAGAACCGTGAGGTCAGAAGACTCCGGATTTTGTCAGTCTCCACCAAACAGAACTATATCATCTGCGTATCCTAATTCAACAAGTGAATCTCCAGGTAAAGACCAATCCCTGATGTCAGATTATGAGTGTTATCTCTTAAAGGATAATTGTGACGAATTCACAAGAAATGGAAAAATTAGACAACCCTGACGAACACCACTTTCGGTTAAAAATAATGATGACAGATCGTCATAAGTTTTGATTCGAGTAGGGGGCCTGTATAAAGTTAATGTACTTCTTTGGTACGCATTTTAATGACAGATTACTACAGAACCTCACAATCAACAAAATCGAACGCCACCTCAAGTTCAAGTACATCAACAGTGTTGGATGCCGGCTCAGTGGTCTGGAAGTTAAGCGTTCATGCGCGAGACTGAAGGTCCTGAATTCGAGTCCCTACCAAAGGATCGTGTAACCGTTACGATGAGTCACATGGTAGGATGAAAAAACCGTTCAATGAATCCAGATTTTCATTAGCTGTTTAAATTAGATCGATTCATGATTT